ATGCCCTAGAAGAGCAGAGGACGCACTGACCTATTCATTTTATGAGAATCCAGTCGTAGACCGGACCTGGTACCGTTCACGGCTTCTCGAGACTTGCCTGTTTGTTTATTTTAAAGACTGTTCCATCGCCACTTAAACGTGTTTTCGTCATACTTGGCGGTATTTTGCACTAATATTGCCAATGATTATTTCGTTGACCCTTTAGCACTACGTTTCTTCGCCCCCGACTCGCTGTTGTTGTTTTGTCATCGTAATCTGAGGTTAGATCAGGTTAAACCAGAGTGACCAGATTTATGGTGTTATTTTTTCAAAAAACTATCTCTTTAGTATTTCACAGCGTTCACTGCTGCGGCAACAGGCGCTTTTTCGTTGAAACCAGACCTGATTACTCTTCAGATTTGCCGCTACTTTCCCATCAAATCCATGTTTTAGGAGGTTGTTCGCAACCTGTATAAACGGTTTCGGCAATGTTTGACCTTGCATGGTCGAAAAGACTGTGCGGGCAGCGCGTAACTCAGACTTCTGCCTAAGTTCTTAGTAATGATACTTTCGCCTCTGAAGTTCAATAAATATTTGTTCCAGTTATAAATTTACATAACCAATAACATGATCTTCAGTTTCGTTTTCCAGTCTCATTGAGGCCTTGGATCAGTGTATAGCAGACAGCCGTTCTTCATTGTTTTCTGACACTGACTGGTGTTTTGAATATTGTCGTTGTTAATTCGAAAACTTAATTTAGTCGTTCGTTGAGTAGTTTTTTTTCAACAATAGAATAAAATGTTTATTCCAAACATGTTAGTGATGGTGATTGTTCTTAAATCCTAGATGACTAAGATATACTCATGACGTTCTGGATTTATCAGCAGTTTTTCACCTAAGTCGTTTTTTACGAGCGAATATTAATACCATCTTTTCGCTGAATTCATACTACATAATTGTATCATACAAGTTTCTGTTCGGCAAAACGCAGTTACGCAGTTTTGCATCAATGCACTGCAGGTACCGTAATGCCATTGAACCATGCCATAATTAAAGATTTCCCTATGCTGCAGGAAACAGGTTGACGGTGTGGTGTGGTTGACCCATGCAAAGTCGAAGTATATGTTGCCTTCCATAGCTGTAATCCGTCTATCTCGATATAGACGGAAATTATTGCATATTTAAGTGTATACCGGTACGGATCGGAACTGTTTTGTTTTTCAGTCCTGACTGGTATTGTGTGGTTTTTACTGCATTACTCTTTAAGCTTCAGCCTTCATCAAAGCCACAGCATAGACCCAAGCATGCAGGCAACCGTACTGAAATTTAGGTACAGGGGTAGGCTTGTTCTGGTGAAACCGCTGTATTCCCGACTTGAACTGAACCGCAAATTCGCTTCAGTCCTCACTTCCCTCACCGGTATGGACGAATTACCACTTTAGACGGTAAGATGCATAACGCTGGAAGGAATTAAAATCGTTTCCCCTGTATGTTTCATTTACTGTTCTGATATCCGTCTTTTGTGGTGTTTCCTGATGCAAGACCGGACTATTTGCTATGCTCTCGTTGTAAGCAGCCTTACAATGGTTTCTTTGTTCAGGTGGAAATATCGGCGACTTAATCGGTGGACTGATCGGTGGAGGCTCACGGAAAAAGAGGCAGGAAAGTCGTAAGTGTCGCTACAGCGATCATCTAGTACTTTCACCGATTGACGTGTGCCGCGCAGTTTTATTCGTTCTAAAATAAGCGGCTTCATTTTACTGTTGAAGGCGATGAGCGCTTGAATCTGAGACGCTTTTGTTCGTTGTACGTTGTGTGGCTGAAAGCTGTGCCGATGAAGCGTTTTGTCTGCTTGATCACGTCCAGTTCGAAATTTCTTGACGGGTTCTTCGTTGCACCTTCCCCGGTTTGGGATTAAAATACTGAGCATTTGTTTTCGTCTTTTCGAACCGTCCCCATCTTCAGTCATTCACCGTATTTAAAGAATAACGGAATGAAAGACGAAAAGTTTTAAGTTTGCAACCATCAGAGTATCAATCTTGGGCTTTCCTTTAAACGAATTTTTGGTTCCGCGTTGATTTCTGATTCTACGTTATCAGTCAATAATACTATTTTTGTTACTACCGGCGTAAGTACAGTGTAGAGTCTGTTTTCCTCCTGGCTTGTACCCAGACCTATCTA